GAAGCCAGCAGCTTCTTCTGTGTCTCCAATATAAGTGCAGGGGCCATGTACTTGAGCCATCTTCCACTGCTTTCCAGGTGCATTAGCAGGGAGCTGTATCAGAAATGGAGCTTGAACCAGCACTTATGCAATGCTGGCACTGCAGAAGGCAGCTTAACCTGCTATGTGATGGGACGGGCCCCTGCTTATTTATTTTAAAGACTGTGTGTGTATATGTGTGTGTGTTTATGTGTGTGCAAAGGTGTAAAGGCAGGTAGGGACATCTTCCATGTACTAGTTCACTCCATAAATGACTGAAATAGCTGGGACAGCACAAGGCTATAGCCAGGAGTTAGGAACTGTACCTATATCTCCTACATGGTTCACAGAAAGTCAAATACTGCTGCTTCCCAGGTACATCAACAGGAAGCTTGATTGGAAGTAGAGTAGCCAGGTCTCAGAACTGGCACGGAGATTGGGAAGTAGGAGTCTCAAGCAGTGACTTAACCTGCTGTGGCACAACACCAATACCTACCTGTCGCTCCCCCTCTTTGTGGAGGAATGACACAGGACCCTGCGCTGTTCTTTTGTCTGCTCGGCCCTCCCCGGGTTTGCTGCTGGTTCTTCCCGTGTTGGCTGCCGACCCTTCCACCTCCGTGGAAGGGCGGTTCCCCCTAGCCACTTTCCCCACTTCCGCGGGGGAGCGGCACACCGCCGGCCGGCTCTCTCGGGGGCTGCACAGGTGTTCCTTCAGATAGATGTTCCTGGTGCATGTTGTCTCTCTCCTCCTTTATAGTCCTCTTCCACCAATCCCAACTCTGCTACCCACACGCCGAGTACACTGCTCTCCTGCAATCAGGAGCAGGTCCTGCTGTTTATTGGTTGAACTGGAGGCAGCTGTGTAGAAGCTGTTTCCTCCTCTCCCAGCGCCATATTGTGGGAGAGCAGATGCATAGAATAAGTCTTAATTCCAGTAACTTAGTCTAGTCCGAGTTGCTCCCAGTTGCTCCCCACACCTACCTCTCATTTATTCTTTTCTTCCTTCCCCCTCCATCCCTCCATCCCTCCCAACTCTCCCTCCTTCCTTCTATCCTGCCTTTGATTTTCTGATCACCTTCAATATTCAGGGTCATTGTTACAAGGTAATCTTTTTATATATTCTATCCCATCACTACACATATTTAAAAATTTTTGCATTTTTGATTATTTGAATAAATGAATAACTAACTTTACATTAAAACAATATCTAGGTTCAAAGACTGGAGAAAATTTTATTTCTTTAGGTTGTTCAAATAGCCTGAAGGAATAAATAACAATATGTATTCTGAAAAATGAACTGCTATTCTAAAACTTAATTGCTAAGATTTATTGTTAGTCATGAGAACTACAAAGATATCCTTTTTTTTTTTTGAAAATCATCTTTTAGGATACTGCTTAATTGATGTGTATAAACAACTGACTCAGTTAATATAGGTTTTCACAATATAAGTACATCAAGTATTGGTAACAAAAATACTCTTTAGTGGATTTTGATGAAATTTTATGTGCCTGCTATTCCCTGTTGCACTAGAATCTAATAGAGGCATCATCTATTGACATAGCATTTAATGTTTAAAATTTACCTTTTATTGCTTGATATGTCTTCTTGCTCTGCAGAGAGCAACAGTCTTCTTGTTGTTCCTACAATTGAATAATCACAAGATACAGAAAATTGATTTTGTTAGCAAGATGGTTGAGTGAGTTAGTAACAGAGGGGACATCATTAAAAGATTTTGTTGCTCAACTTGAGTTTCTGTGCTTGCTTGATCTAATGATAATGAAATGAGGATCCCAGATACTTAAATAAGTTAACTTTTGCCTTGGAGAAATTTGTATCTCTCTTGATACTTTATATTTCTTATCTGTACTTGTCAATACAATGAGCGTAATATAACAAAAACAAAGGAAACCCAACAAAAATCACTTTGTTAAAAGTTTCACACTCTCCTTATTTGTTTTGGGACTTAAGGGATTTTCAAGCACCAAAAGATTCTATGGCATGTGTTGTTTGTCCTTCTTCACAACTTTGAATATTTAAACCTAACCCATATTTTCACTTTTGTCCCATACCAAGGACAAATCTTAACTATAGTGAGCATAATTTTAAGAACTCAGTGCTATTAACCATAAGAGGATAATAAGGCTTAGTGAGCAAAAATTTTGCTGGGGACTTAACATATTCTCACTAATCCTCATATTTACTTTACAAATTATTTGTGATTTCTGCTAAATGAACAAATGAAGAAATCATTCCTTACTATCCATGAAATGCTTTTGAGAGCATTGAAAAGACACTCAGGTATAATCTTGAGAAACAAATTTAATGTTTTCAATCATTCAAAGTAGGCAGGGTTTAAAAACAATATTGAAAACAGGGATATATTTAAGGCAACAACATATGAGAATGGTTGCCTATGATATAGTCTGTGACATACATGATATATAGGCATATATATATACAAACACACCTACACACTTATATATTTTAAATGTATTTTTATTAACCATGAAAAACATACAAAGACTATAACAAAATTGTTCATCTTTGATAGAAGAATAGGAAGTGGTAAGGTATACCTTTAAATGTTTATTTGGAAGGGTAAGGCATAAATCGAATATGTGCTTTCTAAAACAGACTATTTTATAACCATGTACTTAATATATATTTTACAAGTCTTCAATTTGTATATAAATCATAGGGTTTATTACTAATGATTTTCTCTTGTTAGTAGAATATTGTTATTAGGTGCCAAGACATACTTTCAAATATTACCATTAAGGATTTAGTATTTTTTACATAGGACATATTTGCAGTTTAGTAGAAAATATTCTTTTGTTTCCTGGCTGATAAATCATGTCATTGATTTGTCAACTAGGAAGCAAACTTTGACCATCAAATGTTAGACTTCACAGCTTTCCTGTTATTTCACAATTAAAAAAAATAACCCACTGAGCAATCATTTAGAAAAACAGGCTTTCAGGACACAAAGCACATTGTAAAAGAGAATGTGAGGAAAAATCATGTTTTTTTATTATTTGAAATAGTTGTTTAAAAGACTGAAGCATAAATATGTGTTTTCTGGAATATGGCATTTTTTTTTTCATTACGTACTTAACACTTTTACATTTTTATAGCCCTACTTGTTTATAAAGAATAGAGTTTATTATTAATGGTTTTATCTTTGCTGTCCTCGTAAACATAATTGCTGGTAGCTTAGCACCCATGAGTAACCTAGCAACAAGTCAGCTCTCTAACAAGTAAGAAAAGAATGCAAGCAAAGTGTTATGGAAAAATTGTTCAGATTAAGAATGTTAGTGCATGTATACGATTAAAAATCAAAATGGAACTTTCTAATATTTGAGGAATTTCATGACAATAGATATTGAATTTCATATTAAATAATATCATGGCATCCATTCATAAAAATAAAGAAATCTATTTCAAAATACACAACTGTTAACTAGGTAAAATAATATCTGTTTTCCCTGGCAGCCTGTTCATTACAGATTAGATGAGAAGAGTGTCTTTGGCATGCTTTTGTTAGGTGGTAGATGAGGTTACTCAATTGAATTACACCAACACACCTTCCTGACAGTGATACATTGCTCATCTCTTAAATAGTTCCAGAAGTAATAATCTTTTTTGCAGGACTTTGTTTTTATAGTATTGTACTTTGTGTGTGTGTGGGGGGGGGAGGGATCAATTTTTGGAAAGGTCCTAAAAGATTTCACTTCTTGTTTTACATTGTAATCCTTTGACATATTTATTATTGATTTCTTTTGGTGAAATTTAGCTTTTATATTTGCTGTTTATTTTTATTGGGAAAATAACCGTCTTGCGGTGAAAAGCTACACTTTCATAGCATCACCATTTATGTGATGAATGGGGCCGGATGGGGAGGGAAACCACACACGTGGTGTTAACCTTTCCCTGAACAGCATGGCTTCTGTTTCACTCCAGGAGCAGAATTACCTGGCCCTTATCAATTTGACAGGTAGTTCACTGTGCCTCCTGAAATCTTGGAGCCCTAGGGAAGTTTGTGGTAGAGGACAGTAGGATATGCCCTGAGCTTTCTATTACTTTTAGAATCTACCTGGAAATGACTCTCAGTTGTTGCTCCAGTCATGATTAAGGTGTGAACTCCACTCTTCTATTTTTTTCCCTCACTGTGCTCCCAGATACCTCTTCACCAAGGATGGGGGGAATGAAATCATGAGACCCCTAATGAGAGGGCTAAAAATACTTGATGAAAGAGTCAAATTTCATCCCTAGGTGAAAAGTGATGGCTAACATGATTTGGATTAAAGTGAATCACATTTAATACATGAAGAAAGAAGTTTCTTTGCATGAAAATGTTACCTATCCTTGGAGATAACATGCTACAATTGGATAGATTGGTTGCATTATTTCATTTTGGGAACTTTATACCCAAAATGTAAGATAGAACAGCATGGTTTTTCTGTAAAGATGCTATTCATCACAGCTGTGGTAACTGCTCAACTGTTCGGGAAAATAGACTTTCAGATGTATCAGTTGCACATTAATTTCTCCTTACAGCCCTGATGTCTTGATGGAGTGGAAGTCAAGTTCCTGTAAGACAGGGCTGAACTTATTTGAATTTTCAAAGTACTAGTTTATATTAAAAAGTGCATTTTGATTAACTTTTGGTCCAACTAGCTGTGTGATATTTTTATCGACTATTTGCCATTGTACATTGCACACTATCAGCTTTCAAGAAATAATTATTTCTTTTCACTTAGCATTTGTAGTTATGTTTGAAAGAGCCATAATGACCCTTCAAGTTATCTAAAAACAACCTGACCTACACAATACAGTTGCAAACAGATCAAGTACTAATGGATGTTTGCCCTGGAAGATGCAATAAACTTTACATATATAATTGTAGACATGAATTAGGTTAGCAGACAATTACTGTTAAACTGCAAAAGTGTTCTAAAAGGAACTCTACTTGTTATTGCAGGTTTGGTTACAAAAGTACGGCTACCTTCCACCGACTGACCCCAGAATGTCGGTACTGCGTTCTGCAGAGACCATGCAGTCTGCCCTAGCTGCCATGCAGCAGTTCTATGGCATTAACATGACAGGAAAAGTGGACAGAAACACAATCGAGTAAGTACCGGCATCCGCACTCCTTCCTTTTTAGACTTGCGCCAAACTAAGTAGTTGAAAAACTACATGAACTCTTTCAACCATAAATGATGTGATTTGTCTCCTGAGTTCTTTTTTGGAATTCCCCCTGTTTTCACTTCACTCTTATGAAATTTCATGAAACATGTAAGATCTGAAGTCGAGTTTACTCACTTGATTTTTGCTACATTTTTTTAAAAATAGGAAAAAAAATCCATGAATAGAGGCAAAGTTGGGGTCCAGTTGATTTACAGAATAACAATGAGTGATGGAACTGGTTTGTGCGGCTGGCAAGAGAATATTGTGCATGTCTCTTCTCAAATATATGTTAGGTGGTATCACATTAGTACCTTGAAATTGGTCATAATGGAATTATTTACTCCATGAAATTTGGAAAGGAATACAAATGTGGAGCAACACAAAAGTTTTGGGTGGCAGGAGCAGTATCAGTGAACTGGTTATTAACAGTTCACTAAATTCCCATTGGTGATACATCTCTAAATGGCTTAAATCAAGAAAGTTGTCACTCGAAGTCTTTACTTTCAATTTCTTGTGAACAAAATCTTTGTTCTTACTCTCTAATAATATTTATTTTATTGATTTATCCATCAATCGTTTCTTTGCTTATTTATTCAACCAGTAACTCCTGGGTATTATATCTCTGATTGAATGGTATACTCGCACCGACTGTGACGACACAATCTCTTTGTGAAAGCACCTTTGTTCTTTGCGCAGCTACATACAGTCACAAATTATTTTGCCAGAAGCACACAGTAAATTCTCTAATATTATGATACAGCGTTATTATTTCTGGACCCCCAAAGAGGAAATGATTAATATTTCAATAGATGGAAAACATCATATGTGTCTTTAGAATCCTTGATACTCACAAAGTGAATATGTTTCCATTTTTGTTTTGCTTTGTTTAGTTTTTTGGTTTGATCATCATTTAACAACCCTGTGTAATAGGGAAGACAAAGACATGTTTCTCTCTCTGCTTTATCAAACAAAGGGATTGAATGTCAAAGGCTAAGTGAAGTCCAGAACCCAGGTCTTTTGATGTGGAGTATAGAACATTCCCTGCGGTGTACCTCAAGAAACACATATTTATCTCTCTCTTTAATCCTTAAATACTGAAATATCTGTATTCAGGCAAACTTAATTAATTCTGACATCTAAAAGTGATTTAATGTGTACTTTTTGAATTTTAGTTTGCCTTCTAATGCTTGCAGAATGATGCTAACCATGGCATTTCTATTTCATCAAGACAGGAATGTACAGAAAAAGACTTTAAGATGAAACTTCAAAGCAATTTGAAAAAATGTATGCATTACCTCTCCTAGCACTTTTAAGAGATATACAAATGTGAATTTTTATGTACAAATATTAATACATCTAGGAAAATAAAATCAAGAATAAACATAACACATTCTGAGGCAGGATTGTGGCATAGTGGGTAAATATGCCACCGTCGACACCTACATACTCTATTAACTCAGGTTTGAATCCAGGCTGCTTCAGCTCTCTGCGAATGGCCTGGGAAAAGCAGAGGAAGTATTTGGGCCCCTGATACCCATGTGGGAGATCCAGATAACACTCATGGCTCCTGGCTTTCACCTTGCCTAGCACTGGCCATTGTCGCCATCTAGGTAGTGAATCAACATATGGAAGAGATCTCGCTCTCTCTTTTTCTCTCTCCCTTTCTGTCCCCCACTTTATCTGTCTCTCTGCTCTCGGTAACTCTGACTTCCAAATAAAGAACTAAACATTTAAAAATAAAACTAAATATTTAAAAAATAAATATAACATATTCTGTAACATGTGGAAACTTACTATCAATATTGGAATTGGAATTTTGACATTTTATACCTATTAACCTGTAATCATTGATATTCTCTCTTAATAATATATCAAATCTCAGCAGACCCATAGAATGGCAGATGTCCTAAACAGCACTCTGGCCTCAGAATCAGCCCTTAAGGCATGCGGATCCAGCTGAAAAGCCCATGAGAGTATTTCAGGCATGGAAAGCCAAGACACTCTGGGGAAAAAAAAAAAAAAAAACCTAAACAAAAGATCTCTGTGAGTGAGATCCCAGTGGAAAGAATGGGTCATCAAAGAAGGAGGTACCTTTCTCTGAAGGGAGGAAAGAACTTCCACTTTGAACATGGCCTTGTCTAAAAATTATCAGAGTCAGTGAACTCAAAAGGCTTCCATAGCCTTGGCAGCTCATGACTAGAGCATAGGGTGATTACTGATGCCATAAACAAGAGTGTCAATTTGTTAAGTCAACAACAGGAGTCACTGTGCACTTACTCCTCATGTAGGATCTTTGTCCTTAGTGTGCTGTACATTGAGATTATTGCTATAACGAGTACTCAAACAGTATTTTTCACTTTGTATTGCTATGTGGGTGCAAACTGTTGAAATCTTTACTTAATGTATGCTAAACTGATCTTCTGTATATAAAGAGAATCGAAAATGAATCTTGATGTGAATGGAAGGGGAGAGGGAGTGGGAAAGGGGAGGGTTGTGGGTGGGAGGGACGTTATGGGGGGGAAGCCATTGTAATCCATAAGCTGTACTTTGGAAATCTATATTCATTAAATAAAAGTTTAAATAATAACAATAATAATAATATATCAAATCTCATTTTCAGTCATCATATACCTCTTATATGCAGTTTTAAATTTAACAGCAAAACCTCCAGGAGGTCCTGTATTCTGCTGGTATAGCACAGAGTTCCATGTAAATTGTCCTCTTCACCCCTACCTTTTCTGTGGTTAGTTCCTCAATGGAGAACTGTAAGCTTCTAATTCATATTCTTTAAAATTATGGCACAATTTGTTAAAATACAAGTAAGTTAAGGACTTAGAAACAAGTAAGTTAAGGACTTAGAAACAAAATTCCCTTAAATGGTTTGAATATCTAATTTGACTATTGTCACAATAATGGGAACGTTCTTGATTCTTATTTACTAGAGACCACAAAAGTAGAGACCACAGAAGATGGTCAAAGACCAACTTTGAGAGCTTCTATAGATTCTATAGGAAGAAGTTGGGTTTCATAGCTTTAATTTTCTAAAATAGCTAGGTAAAGATGTTTTTAGGAGATAATGGAATAGGAATGGGTGCACACTTTGTAGTTCTCTGAAAGGAGGATGTAAAACATGTGCAGATGTAGACGAGCAGATACTTCTCCTTGTATACAGACTAGCTCAGCTTCCAGACTAGGAAAGATGAAGGTCTGTATCAGTGCAGAGGAGTTAAAGTAGAATATCTATGACACAGCATTAAAGAAAAAGATTGGCTATCTATAGGCGACCCTTAATGTAAAACCAAAAGAATTTTGTTGCTTGTTATCTGGTTGTTTTGTTTTGGTGTGTGTGTGTTTTAAAAATAAACCTTTTTCTAATTAAGTCTAATTTAGTCTTTTTTTTTAATTTGGGGGCAGTTGTTTGTTTCTTTTTTTTTTTAACTTTTATTTAATGAATATAAATTTCCAAAGTACAGCTTATGGATTACAATGGCTTCCCCCCATAACGTCCCTCCCACCCGCAACCCTCCCTTTTCCCGCTCCCTCTCCCCTTCCATTCACATCAAGATTCATTTTCAATTCTCTTTATATACAGAAGATCAGTTTAGCATACATTAAGTAAAGATTTCAACAGTTTGCACCCACATAGCAATACAAAGTGAAAAATACTGTTTGAGTACTAGTTATAGCATTAAATCACAATGTACAGCACATTAAGGACAGAGATCCTACATGAGGAATAAGTGCACAGTGACTCCTGTTGTTGACTTAACAAATTGACACTCTTGTTTATGGCCTCAGTAATCACCCTAGGCTCTAGTCATGAGCTGCCAAGGCTATGGAAGCCTTTTGAGTTCACTGACTCTGATCATATTTGGACAAGGTCGTAGTCAGAGTGGAAGTTCTCTCCTCCCTTCAGAGAAAGGTACCTCCTTCTTTGATGACCTGTTCTTTCCACTGGGATCTCACTCGCGGAGATCTTTCATTTAGTTGTTGTTGTTTTTTTTTTTTTTTTTTTTTTTTTTTTTTTTTTTTTTTTTTTTTCCCAGAGTGTCTTGGCTTTCCATGCCTGAAATACTCTCATGGGCTTTTCAGCCAGATCCACATGCCTTAAGGGCTGATTCTGAGGCCAGAGTGCTGTTTAGGACATCTGCCATTCTATGAGTCTGCTGTGTATCTCGCTTCCCATGTTGGATCGTTCTCTCCCTTTTTGATTCTATCAGCTAGTATTTGCAGACACTAGTCTTATTTATGTGATCCCTTTGGCTCTTAGTCCTATCATTATGATCAATTGTGAACAGAAATTGATCACTGGGACTAGTGAGATGGCATTGGTACATGCCACCTTGATGGGACTGAATTGGAATCCCCTGGTATGTTTCTAACTCTACCGTTTGAGGTAAGTCAGCTTGAGCATGTCCCGAATTGCACATCTCTTCCCTCTCTTATTCCCACTCTTATATTTAACAGCAATCACTTTTCAGTTAAGTTTCAACACTTAAGAAGAATTGTGTATTGATTACCGTATTCAACCAAAAGTATTAAGTAGAACAAGCAAAAAAAATAAGAGGGATAACGTATTAAGTTGTTCATCAACAGTCAGGGCAAGGGCTGATCAAGTTACCGTTTCTCATAGTGTTCATTTCACTTTAACAGGTTTCCTTTTTGGTGCTCAGTTAGTTGTCACCGATCAGGGAGAACATATGATATTTGTCCCTTTGGGTCTGGCTTATTTCACTCAGCATAATGTTTTCCCAATTCCTAACAGGGATCACTTTTCAGTTAAAATTTAAACATCTACGAATAATTGTGTATTAATTACAGAGTTCAACAATTGTACTAGAACAAAAAAAATACTAAAATGGATGAAGTATTACATTGTACATCAACTGTCAGGACAAGAGCTGATCAAGTCACTGTTTCTCATAGTGTCCATTTCACTTCAA